TTATTATCTTAGAGCTTTGGAAGCCAAAGGTGCTGAAACCATGATCCTACGTTTCTTGGTTCACAGTCCCAAATGCATTCTTAAAGCCAGAAGCACAGCCTGTTCCCATGACCAGCCTTAACTTCCATCCTGACCCCACTCTCTTTGGATCTGGTCTTCCTCCCTCCCTTTTCTTACAGACTTTATTATCAACTAGAGCACACCAGATAATCCCGTGTGATTGTCCCATCTCAAGAGCCAAAGCTTAGTCAGAGCTGCACCATGTTTTGTTCCATGTCAGGTGGTACATTCACACATACTGGGACAAGTGTATTCATACACCTGGAAGAGCCAACACTCACCTACCACACTCTGCTGAGCCAGTTCTTGTCCAGAAGTTACTGGGAGCCTCAGAGTTGCAAAAATCCCATGGTCACTTCTTCATCCTGTCTGTTCCCTTGGCCACACTCATCTGACTTGATCATTCTCAGACTCATTCTGGTGTCTCCCTTTTGATACTTTGAACTTCTTCCTCAGACACTGACAAACTTATCTTCCATTACATTTACAGATTAATATTTTGATCAATCTTCCTATGTATCATTCAGCTTTGCCATCACTGAAACTCACTACCAGACACCCACAATTTAAAGGAGGAAAGGCTTATTTGGCTCCCACTTTCAGGGGTTCAATCCATGATGGGCTGGCTCCCAGGCAGGAAAGTCATTACAGAAAGACAGGGAAACAAGGATGCTTAGTCCATGGCGGGGGGAAACTGAGCAGGAGAACAGATTCAGAAAGGAAGAGAGGAGAGACCAGGTACAGTACCCAAAATCTTCTTCTGTGACCCAAACAGACACACACAGAAGTGTGCTTTATTAATCCACTGAGTGTTTCTTTATCAAGTCAAGTTGCCTTGTCGTGATTAACAGTCCTATGCTATGTGTAACCAATCTCCCATTCCCATCACCAGCTTCCCAGCATGGATGCCCCCTTAACCCACTTGGGTTCCAAGGCTCCACTCTAAGCTGTGCCTGTGAGGCTTCTCTCCTTAATCCTATGACGCTCCAAGCGGGATGTCATCACACTCTGACACCCTGTGCAAAGCATCTCACAGACGGGGGCCACTTTGCCCTATGTGTAGGCCAGGTTACCCACAGATGCCTCTTCACCCTGCTTAAATTCCATCACCCATGATGGTCTTCCACATTTGGGCATCCTCTCCTACATGTTTCTTTTATCATTATCATCTTGCATTCAGTTGGGATATTTGTTACAATTGATGAGCCAGTGTTGATTCATTATTATGACTAATTTTTATAGTTACATCAGGATCACTCTTGACGTTACACATTCTGTAGGTTTTGAGAAAAGTATAATGACATGTAACCATCATCATAGTATTCTAAAACTAGTTTTATTATCCCCCAAATCACTTGTGCTCCATCTAGTCATCCCTGTTCCCTTTATATGGAATCCCCAGTAACTGCTGCTCTTATTGGAAATACAGTTTGACCTATCCCAGAAGGCTATATAATTATACTTGAACAATATGTAGCCTTTTCAGACTTTTTTTTCATTTAATGACATACAATTAAGGTTCATCTGTGTCTTTTGTGGTTTAATTGTTCATTTCTCTTTATTATTGAATAAGATTTCATTCTATAGATGTCCCACAGTTTGTTAATCTATTCATCTACTGAAGGAAGTATCAGTTGCTTCTATCTTGAAATAATTACAAATAAAACTGCAGTAAATGTCTAGGTACAGATTCTTGTGTGAACATGTTTTCAGCTCATTGCAGTATACGGATAATTCTGAATGATAAGACGAGACTGTTTAGCTCCCCAAGAAACTATCAAAATGTCATCCAAGGTGGTTGGTTAATAATCATTTTGCATTTCTACCAGCAAGTAAGAGTTTCCATTGATCTATATCTTCTCTAGCATTTGGTACTGCCAGTCTTCCCAATTGTAGACATTCCAATAGATATTTAGGTATCTTATTGTTTCCAGTGACAATTCTTTAAGGCCATACAGTGTCAACAATGCTTTTACAAGTTTCTTATCATCTCTCTATTTTTACTGGTGATTCTTTGCCCACATTTTACTTGGGTTACTTGTTTTCTTATTGCTACCTTCAAAGCTTTTTGTATATTTTTGGATATGAGTCCTTTATTAAACACAAGTTTTGCAATCATCTTTCCCTGGCCTATAGATTGCCGTTTCATTATCTTAAAAATGTCTTTTACAGAGAGCAAGTGTTTAATTTAAATGAAGTCCAATTTATCAGGTTTTTTTTCTTCTAAGGTTTATGTTTCTGTTGTATATAAAAAGTCACCACCAAATCCAAAGTCACCTAGATTTTCTCTGATGTTATCTTGTAAATATTTCAAGTTTGCGTTTTCTATTAAAGCCTATGCTCCACTTTGAATTAGTTTTTGTGAAAGGCAGAAAGTTTGTTTCTAGATTTATCATTTCTCATAACCAATTTGTGTAACACAGCTTTCCATTATTACAACAAATACCCTGATAACCAGTTTAATACAGGACAAAGTTTGCTCTGGGCTCATGATCTTAGAGGTTTCAGTCCATGACCAAGCAGGTCTGTTGCTTTGGGGCTTGTGGAAAGGCAGGGAACACAAGTGAAGCAAAGCTGTCAGTGAGGTCCCAGCACCCCCTCCCAGGGCACATCCACAGGGACCAGATCTCCCGGTTGTCCCTCTTCTTAAAACTTTCATCACCTTCATGTAACAGAAAATGCCTCCCTATCTTCACCCTGCCAGGATGCTTCAGTTTGTTAGCTGCCCAGGTAATAGTTCCGGTTGCTTCTGTCACCTAGAAACAACTAAACACTGTGATGCATAGCTGGTCACTATGATGCACATTGCATAAACCAATGTCCACTTGACAAGCTGCTCTGCCTCTGTACATCCTGCTTGCTTATCCCATGTAAACCCTAGACCACCAGAGATCAAGGCTTAATATTTTGGGAATGGTCCAAATCAGTGCCAATCGATGTAAAATAAATCTGCCTCCAAATCCTGGGTGTCATTTTGGTATTTCTGCTCACTGTTGCACTACTGGAGTGCAGCTGGGAATTAAGCCGTTAGCACACATGCCTTTGGGACACTTATAGTCTTCAGCATAGCACAATTGTTCTAGCACTGATTTTTGGAATGACTGTCTTTTCTCCATTGTCTTTCCTGCTTTGTCAAGATCAGCTGAATATTGAGATGGTAATTAAAATATATGATGAATATTTAAATTTTTAGAAGAACTTATGACACTAAAAGTTGTATTGCCATTAATCCCCCTCATTTTGAACACATGTATCCCATCTTTCTTGCTCCTGTCTGAAGCAGTTTGGAAAGTCCTATTTCTCACATGTCTTTATCTGGTGATAAAAATACAGTGAATGCTGCTGCCAAGTGCTATTTGATAGAAAGACAGACTCATAAAATCAGTGTGTCTTCATGCACCTTATTTACCAGGTCAGGCACCATGCAACTTCTGTCTCTTCCCCAAAGTCAAAATGACACGAAACAGAAACATTCTGAATAAAATTCAGACAGTGGTGGTGGCCATGACAGTTCACTGAAGACACTCACGAAAGAGGGCTTCCAGACCTGTTCCAGAAAGTGGCAAGAGTGATGAGATAAGTGTGCCCAAAGCAAGGACTATTTTGAGGGTGATTAACAGCAATGTGTCTTTGTAGTAAGTTTTAAAAAAATTCAACATATTCTTTAATCGTACCTCATATTTTTGTGGCTATATTTGAGTTCTCTCTTCTGTTTCACTAATAGCTGTCTAATGTAACACTTGGATATGTTTCTATTTTTAATATATATTTATATAAAACCATTCAGGCAGAGACTATTTCTGCAACTTCTCCAAAACTGCGGTTGAGCTAGACTGTGTCACATGCTTATAATCACTATGGGAAACTGAGAGACAGTAAGATTACAAATTGAGCCTATCCTGGCAGCTTAGTGATTTAGCAAGACCTTGTTTCATAATAAAAAATAAAAAGGGCTGGGAATGGAGCTCAATGTGAAGGCCCTGGGTTCCCCTCTAGTAGTGGATGGAGGAGGGCAGAGATCCTGTGGCTAAAAATATTCCCAGTGTTGGATGCATTTTGTAAGGAACCAGAATTCCAGATGAGTTCTCTTCAGATCTAACGGGCCTGTGGGAATTCTGCTGAGTAACACGCGACGCAGAGCTCTGACACTTTTGATGATCACCCCTGCACCCAGGCTATAAAAGAGCATCAGCAAATGTTAGACTCACGGATGAAAATCTCCACCCCCCCCCCTTGCACACACAAATATTAAACAACCTCCTCTTCACTTTCCTGAGAAATCAGAAAAGTGAAAATGAGATTGGAATGGTCTGCGCACTTCGTATATTTTCTCCCTCTACTTGAAAAGATTTTAACATTTCCATTTCAGTACCGTTAAGTTCAGAATGTACATACACTTTACTGAAACTTCATGCTATTTTGGAAGTTTGCAATCAATAGGTAAGCATACTAAGCACTGTGTCTTCCCTCTCCACCTACTCTGAAACGAAGCACGTTGATTGGCACTTTGATTGCCTGGTGGAAGTGGGGTCGGAATAAGAGGGAAAGACCGCGGAGAAGCGGGGGTGAGGGACGATCTGTACAATATTTCCAAAGCCCTGCCTCAGCCCTGCACTATGTCAAGCCTTTATAACCCAGTAGTAGGTTTTATTAATTGCAGATTGATTTCAAAGAGGGTTAGAAAACTAGTAAACGAAGGGTCAAGGAGAGAATCGATCTGTGTTTGGTTCATTCGTTCAGCACAGATTTAGAATGTCTTTAAAAACACTGCTGTAGCTCCAAAACTGTTAAAACTTTTCTGTGGCTCTATGATGCAAGAGATGCCATCAGCAGGGGCCAACGACCGCAAGGCTAGGCTGAAATCCCCAGGCCCCGCCCCGCCTCCGCTCCATCAGGCCCCGCCCCGGTCCGCCTTGGCCCCGCCCCATCCGGCCCCGCCCCCGCCCCGCCCCACCGGGCCTGCCTTCCAGGCGGCGGCTGCAAACCTCGCGCTCTGCAGTGCTCCGGCACCCAAAGCGTTTCAGCTTGCACGCGATAAGTTCCCGGGGAGAGCCCGGGGTCCTCCCCAGCGCACTCAGCGGCCACCGCTGGCCTCACGGCCCGCTTCCGCTTTGCCACTGTCTGCCCTCGTCAGCCTAGGGGACCTCCCCCCTCGCGCATCCCTGGCGACGGCGCGACCCCGGCCCCGGCGGCGGGGACCTGCGGGGCGGAGCACCGAGGTAAGGCGGGGATCGGCACGCGCGGGGATCCCCGGCGCCGGACAACGGAGCGGGGCCGCCCTCTGCAGCCTCTTCCCGGAATCCCATTCCAGTTTCTCCTGCGCCGAGAGACTGTGGCTCCTCCTGCCCCCGCCCCTGGGTTTGGGGCCCGGGCTGTGTCCCGCGCCGCCCTCAGTGCAGCCCTAGGGACACCCCGTCCCCGGTCCGGCCCTCGGCCCCCGCGGACGGGCCCAACGCAGCTCTCGCGGGCCTCGGGTGCGGGGCCGTTCATCCATTCATCTCCTTGCTGGGAGCCCCTGATTTTTGTATGCCATCTCTGAGCACCTCCAGACACCCCACTGCCCACACCGACTCACCAAAGGTGGCTAGGACACCGAGGCACTTGTCACTGCGAGATCTGAGCCGTAGTGAAGTTTGAGGGCATGATCCTTCAACATCAACCCCCGCTCGCCTTGCAAAACTGGGTTACCCTTCTGGGCCTCTGGGTTGGGGCCTCGGGCCTCCCCATCCCCACCCCCAGAGAAGTCCTAGAGTTAAGCATCCCTTGTTCCGGTGCAGGAGAGATGGGGGGGGGGACTCCGTGCAGGAGCCTCTTAGATCCACAGCCTGGAAACTGGGGCTGGGGGACCTATGGAACAGAGGGCCCTCTAGTGAGTCCCTCTCGGGGCCAGAGATGAGATAGTGGAACAATACCTGGGAAATATTGGAAGATGCTCATAGTTTGCGTTTCTACGGAGAGCAAACCAGTGGCATGTAGTATCGAGGTGATTCCACTTACCTGTTTGTTTGACTAGCGATGATTTCATTGGAAAACTCTGGATATCCCACCTCCTTTTGCGTTGTAATATTTGTTTGATGTTCTCATTTGTTTGACAGGAAGTCTTAGAGAAGAATAGCTTTTGAGAGACAGGCCTGCCTGACCCCCTGCTCCCCAAGTCAGCTCAGGACTCAGAGGCTTAAAATCCCAGGATGTCCTTGCCCCCTGCCTGGCCAGGCACTTGTTCATGGATAGTAGTCGGGGAGGGAAGCCGCAGAGGCCATGACAGGGTCTGCCGTAAGGAAAACATCTCATAAATGTCATTAGCCATCTGGGCCTGCTTGCTAAGTAGTGATCTCTGCCTCAGGAAGTGGCTTAAACTTTTAGCTGCTACTGTTTGCAAGTGTTTTTCGATTTTAAATCATCAAAAGTCTGCTTGACTCTTTTTGTTGTATTTAAACTTTCTCCTGTATTTATTCAAAAATTAAAGAAAATCTGCTTGGGTTTTGATTCTTGTTTGACAAATGATGACTTGTCTTTAAAAAAAAAAAAAGCCAACTGACTAGAAGGACGATAGCTCAAGAAGAAGTCTCTTAGAAGTGAAACTGGTTTTAAAATATGTGCTTTATCACACACCCACACACAGCCACTTTGAACTTAGCCACTTTGGACTCATTTTCCTGTTACCTTCAGACTGTTGAAGTCAGTGACAGGTACATTCTTTGGTCACCCTTCATATTTTACCAAGAAAGTGCCGTTGACTATGGGGTACACTTCTATTATTGTGTATAACCAAGGAAGAAAAAGCACTGTCAGTTACACTGTGACCTGCCTCTGTGCAAAGCATTCTGATTTTGAAAATGTTCAAATGTGAAAAGGAAAAATACATTTTTTTTAAGTTCATGAACTATTCTTGAGCTAGCATGAAGCTTGACATTATGTCAGCTCTCCTCATCTGCAGTCCCTCACCTGCAGGTTCAGCCAACTGTCTGAACTAAACGTGTCCAAACTTTTTTCCTTATCATTACCCCTAAGCAATACATATAACAGCAATTTACACTGCATAAAATATAAGTAATCCACAGATGGTAGAGTGCACAGGGAAGAGAGCCACAGGTTCTGTGCAAATACTATAGTTTTTACATGAGGAGCCTGAGCACAATGAATTTTGGCATTCTGGAAAAGGGAGGTTCTGGGCCCAACCTTCAGGAACATTGAGGAATCACTACGGGCTCCTTTTTTCTTCAAAGACTGAAACTAGTGGGTGTGCAGTCCGGGGAGGAATAAAATAAAAAGCAGTTACTTGGCAGAGGAGGCTGGTAACCTGGGGAGTGTTGAGAAATAGAGAAGAGAGAGCAAAAGAAGAAAGCAGAAAGGTCTCTCAGTGGGAAGCACATAATTAGGAGCCACTGAAAACGTCCCCTGGAGCCAGCAGGAAAAGGGGCACACTTATTGCCTTACAGTCAGGGTGCTCGCAAACTGGGGGTCCATATGATATAGGAGAAGGAAATTCTCAATCTGCTAGATGTCTGGTATGAGATTGTGTTCTCAAAAATCGAAGAATGAATTTTAGAAGCAACAGAGGTTAAGCACAGACTATGTTTATTGAGAGAAAATGTTATGGTTTGTGTCTGAGTGTCCCCCCAAAGCCTTGTATGGTCATGGGAGCAGACTCACAGAGTTTGTGATTGAGTCACAGTCCAGTGCTGAGATTATGGGTGTAAGAACTGGGCCTGCATACAGTGTGAGGTGCAGAAAGAGCTCGCCTGTGCGCCTCCCTTTGTGGTCTTGTTGCTTTTGCTGTTTTCTGCTGCCGTGAACTCCTGCCCCTGCAACGTGCCACTTTGTCTTGAACCAAGCTATGGTGGACTGAAACCTCCAAAAACTGAGCCAGATAAACCTTTCTTTCCTTAATTTTGGGTATTGGGTATTTTGTCTCCGCAATGAGAGAAAAGTAACCAACACAGTGTGTTATATATGGCTTGGATTTAGATGTCCCCTCCAAGATACACGCAGTCATAGGTGAGATTAGAGGGATGTGGCTGGATCATGGATATGTGACACTAGTTTAGGGTGTGGGATAAATAAATTAGTTTAGCAAGGAACTAGGTGTGAATAATACAAGTCCCACCCTGGATGTGTGTGGCACCAGTCAATAGGATTGGATGGAACATAAAGGGACAGAAAGAAAGCAGGCTTGTTGCTTACTATTCTTGCCTCCTGCCTGCTCTGGCATTGGCTCCATGCTCTGTGATGCCCTCTACCATGCCTGTCTGCCAAAGCCCAGTGTCTGGTGCTGCTTCACCAGGGCCGACAGCAGGGGAAACACATTCATGCTTGCGGGAAGCAGGACCAGTGTTCTGACCAAAAGCAGAGCGCTCTCTCCCTTGCCCTCCCAGCTGTCCCAGCACCAGGGCCTAGAGAAGCTGTCCAGCTGTCCCCACTTTCCCAACCGCACTGAAATCTGGAGGAGTAATCAAGGGAAAAGGAAGTCCGGATTTCCCTGTGCTGTCACCTCAGTAGACGGCGAAAGCCCTCCAAGCGCAGCGATGGAAGGGGTGCAACAAGGAAGGAGAGCAACACGGCTTGCAAAAGTTTTACTGTAAAAACAGTTATATATACCTAGATATGTATATATAACTCCTTATGCCTTGCAACAACTTGGTAAAAATTTGTATTCAATAAGACAAAACCCAAAATGAGAAAAAGAAATGTAAATGAACTTAGACTGGCGGCACCAGGGAATAAATTGAAGACCGTGCAAACATAGTTACAGAAGAAATAAGAGGAAAGAACAGAGAAAATACTACTGCATACAAAAATATTTGAATAGTGGCCTACATACAATATTGATTTAACTTGATTTAACTCAAATGAAAGTAGATGAAAGACAAAGATTAATTCCTTTTAAAAGAATGTAATATAGAAGACAAAACACAGCCCAAGCATTTAGGACCATTAGAATCTCTGGCATAGAGAAACCAACAAAAATGGCAAAAATGCAAATAAAAGCAGGACAAAAGAAATCTTACTGAATTGGGATTTTTTTTTTTTTTTTTTTTTTTTTTTTTTGTGCCGGGGATCAAACTCAGGCAGGTGCTTAAGCCACTGAGATAAACCCCCAGCCCCAATCTTACTGAATTGAAGAAAAACTTCTGTAGACCAAAAGAACATGTGGTGTTCCAGGAAAATTTCACATGGTTTTGATTCAGAGGAAAAACCATTTACGAATCAGGAAGAGAAAGTAAAGGAGTGAAAACAGGCTGGACTCAGACTGGCCGGTGTAATGCTGAACAGCAGAATCTAACAGCTCTAAGGAGAAATCTCCAAGGGAAAGACACTTCCCTAAGGTGGTGGTAGAGAGCGAATCTATGGCACACAAGTTACTGTGTTTTTCTTTTAAGACAAAGCAGGTTCATGCAGAGTTGTTTCTCCCAAACTAAACCTCAGTATCTGGTTTAATTGTGGTGCTGGCACTTTGTGGTAAATAAGTGGGTTTTAGGTTGCAATTTAGTACTCCGTTGGCCATCACTTCCCTCAGGATACTTTGTCTGAGGCAGTGATAGGATTTCTCAGGTATTGGGCTGGAGATTTTGCTCAGGGAAAGAGTGCTTCCCTAGCATACACAAATCCTGGGTTCAGTCTCCAGCGCTGCCAAAAAAAAGAAAAGGAAAGGGGGAAAATGACTTTTTCACATAAAGAGAATTCTTTTTTTCTTTTTTAAAAAAATTTTATTTAAAGAAAGACTAAACAAAACAGAAAATAGGTAGAAATAATACATACGTTCAGAGAAAAAAATAAACAGTAAGAAATCACTAGTTGATGTTTACATATTGTCATTTTACAAATAGTTGTTCAAGATGCATAAAGAGAATTCTAAAGTCTTGTGTCCTATTGAAAACCCAAACAATAAGAAATGAAGAAATAGAGAGCCCAGGGGTAGAGAAATGGCAATGAAAATTGTCGGTAATTATAGCATTTAAATGTAGAAATAATACAAAACATCTTGTAGAAATAATGTAAGAAAGTGTGGCTAGAGCAGGGCATAGTGCAGCACACCGCAATCCCAGCACTTGAAAGGGCTGAGGCAGGAGGATCACTGCAAATTCAAGCCCAGCTTGGAAGAGAAAGAGAGAGAAAGAAAGAGGGATTATGAGTGGAATAGAGTGTAACTGTTATAAGCACAGACAAAAATATATAGCAATGAAATAAGGAAGTAGGAGAGGAAAAGGGAAGGAAATAC